CAACACAACACAGAAAATTGTTTTGATTTAGTTGACCAAAGACTGGAAAACTGTGTGAAGAATACAAGAAGTATCCTAGCAACCATGCAGTCTGGTGCACGGAGGAGTTTTGGTGTGATTTTGTTTTTCTAAATAATGCAATGAAATTTATAAAAGTCATTTATTTGGGAAATGAATAAGGGAAAGAGAGGGAATAATAACAGAAGATATCACACATAGAAAATTCCAAATAGAAGTTTTTAAAGGCAATCTGGCTTAACTAGATTTCAGAGAATGTACACTGGGATTCCAAACTTGGTGTAAAGGCCCTCCACATTCCCAGAGATAATTTTATTTTGCAAAGCCACCCATCGTTACCTGCGGATTCAAACTGCCGACCTTCCAATCAGCAAATTCTGCTGCTTAGCAGTTTGACCTGCTGCACTACAGCTGCCCATAATAACATGTTAGGATACTGCAATAGGTACACTTTTGAAAAGGCACTTTCCCCTCTCCATGAGTGCCTTTAAAAATGGCAACGACACCTGCGATATTAGAAAGTGCCTGCTTTGAAGGCAATAAAGTGTTTTCAAAATCTTCTACTTGATTAAGTAATGACTTCCTTTTAATTATTTTTTAAATTATTAATTGAATCAAATAAAATGTTTGAATTTGTCCCAAAGGTTAACTGAATGTAAAAAGTAGGCAGGCAAAGTCAAGCCTTATTCAAACATATCATCAAGCAAATATTTCTAAATCATATCACAATTTGGTAATGGGGAATAGGAATACTATGAAAATGAATCTTCACGACTGAAGTTAGTTTTCATCATGCCATTCCTTGAAATAAATAATATTTTTATAATCAAATGAAGAAAGTGAAGGACGGAGAATATGAAATGTGGTAACAAAACATAACGTAATTTTCAGTATAATTATTCTCTTCTGGGGTGGAGGGGGGAGAATAATTGAAACTTTATGCTTATTACTGCTCACTAAAGTACATTTTCCTCCCTTGACGAGGAGGCTGTCAAAACAGATAATTATGGAAATGCTAGAAATAGTTTGAAAGAAGACAGGAGCTGTCACAAAAAGTTTCTTCTTTTTAACATTTCACCTTGTATCCAACTGTGCAATTCAGAAGCCATTTCATTTTTATTACTGCACAGCAAACACACAGTGCATTAGAAATGAAAAGCAGTTATTTACCACATTCTTTATTCTAAGTCACTTTCAGACTTTCCCATCCATACAAATGAATTGTTTTATTAAGCATTTTTTTTTATAAAAGTGAACTATTTTCTCTCTCAAAGAACCAAGATTTCTTTTATTAAAGTACCTTTACAAGAATTGAACTCACTGAATGGCATTTGGCTTATTCCTATGAGAAAACACAGAACCTAACTGAATATTATAAAGAAACATATCCCAGAAAATCCTGTTGCTTATGATGGAGTGGGGCAATCCAAAACAGAAATATGGAAGGGGAGGTGCTAAACTTCTTACCTGCCTGCCACTTTCCCAACCCAAATCATGTCTCCCTGCTATTTTCTAAGAATTAAATGCAATCTTGGAATCCCATGGGCAAACTGGAATATGTCCAGAGAAGGGGCTGCGGTGGCACAACAGGTTAAACCACTGAGCTGCTGAACTTACTGACCGGAGAGTTGGCAGTTCAAATCCACAGGATGGGGTGAGCTCCCGTTGTTAGCCCCTGCTCCTGCCAACCTAGCAGTTCGAAAACCTGCAAATGTGAGCAGATCAATAGGTACCGCCTCAGCGGGAAGGTAAACAACGCTCCATGCAGTCATGCCAGCCACATGACCTAGGAGGTGTCTATGGACAACGCAGGCTCTTTGGATTCGAAATGGAGATGAGCACCACCTGCAGAGATGGAGATGAGCAGCACCCGCCCCCCTCCCCCACCAGAGCAAGAGATGAAGGGGAAGGCTTTACCATTATTTGTGTAAATGTGTTTCATTGTTTTGAGGCATTGAATGTTTGTCTTGTGTCTGTATATGACTATATATGCTGGAATCTGCCCTGAGTCCCCCTCAAGAAGATAGGGTTGAATACAAATAAAAGTGTGATCATCATCATCATCATCATCATCATCATCATCATCGTGACCAAAATGATCAAAGGTCTGGAAACCAAGCCCTATAGAAGTGACTTAAGAAGCTGGGCACGTTTTGCCTGCAGAAGAGAAAGTTAAGATCAAATGTTTAAATATCTGGATGTGACACTGAGGAAGGGACAAGCTTGTTTCTGTTGGTCTAGACTAGAGACAATGGATCCAAATTGCAAGAAAAGAGATTCCATTGAAATATGAGGAAGAACATCCTGATGGTAAGAGATGTTTGACACTGGAATATGCCTCCTCCAAGTGTAGTGGAGTCTCCTCTGGAGGTTTTTAAGCAGAGGCTGAATGGCCATCTCTCATGAGGGCTTTGAGTGTGTATTCCTGTATGACAGGGGTCGGACTGGATGCTCCTTGGGGTCTCTATGGCTCTATCATTCTATAATGCTGAGATGATCAGGAAAATGGTTCTAGATACATAGGGCATCTGTGTTTTGTTATTATTTGTTATTTATTTTTAAAAATGTCTTCTGCCCTTCTCACCCTGAAGGGGACTCAGGGCGGAGCACAACATATATATGGCAAACATTCAATGCCAGAACATAAAATAAACTATAAATATACATAAAAATTAAAATCAATTATCTCCATTTTAAAATCAATTGTTTAAAACCATCTCAGATCAGCCATACCAGATCCAGTCAGCAGGGTACAATTTCCTATTGTTGCCTTATTGCACTGTCGCAAAGGCTTGGTCCCATGGCCAAGTTTTAACCATCTTTCTGGAGGACAGGAGGGAGGTGCCTGATCTAATCTAGTCAAGGAAGGAGTTCCATAGCCAAGGAGCAATCACAGAGAAGGCCTTTTCTCTCCTCCCCACCAATCACGCCTGTGACGGTGGTGGGACCGAGAGCAGGGCCTCCCCGGAAGATCTTAATCTCCGCTGTTGTTCAAAGAGGGAGATGTGTTCGGACATGTAAACTGGGCCGGGGCCATTTAGGGCTTTATAGGCCAAAGCCAGCACTTTGAATTGTGCCCGGTAGCAAACTGGCAGTCAGTGAAGCTGACACAACATGGAAGTTGTGTGCTCCCTGTACGCTGGCCCCAGTTATTAACCTGGCTGCCTCTCACTGGACTATTTGAAACTTCTGAACAGTCTTCAAAGGCTGTCTGTCTACCCTAGAATCCCTACCAAAACAATAGAATGCAATTTGGCTGAGAGTTTTTACAAAGTGCTTTGGGATCTGGGAGCCGCTTTGAGCCTCCTTGTGGAGAGAAAAAGCAGGGAATAATAACAATCACCATCATCTTCATCTTCACCATCTAATTAGGAATGAAACCCTAATGTTACAAGTTAGTTCAAGATCCAACACGAAACACAAGCAGTGTAATTTTCAATAACCTCCCCTGTCCCCCACAGGAAAATAAGGAGATGAGTCTTTGTCTACTTGGAGAGAAAGAGAGAGATGAGAGAAATAGACAGGAAGATTTGCTATATAACAACTTCAGCATGAAATATGGTCAAAACCATTCCCCAGTTCAAAAGCTGTCAAAGAACATTTACCATATCAACACTGTTGTCAGAAGCTGTCTAATACAGAAACCAAATCAATCTATCTTGGGAGTGATTTCAGATAAATACGATGCCCTTGGAATAATGTGAAGAAACAGAAAACCTGCCACATATCAAACCATATGCTAAGAAAGAAAGGAATTGTTATTTTACTTGAGATAGCTTTAATTTAGAACAATTACTCATCATTTAAATATAGCATGTGTTATGTACAATAATATACACAACAATGAGAAAAACAGGTGTATTTACCTAACTGTCAGCACACTGTCATCTGTGAGGCCACAAAGCTTTTCAGGACTAATTCACCTGTCCAAGGGAAGAGCCACTTTAAAGGTCTAGAAAAGGAAGCCAGGGGAATCCTAGTAAGATTTCCCCAAAAGCAGACAGAAAATGCAGGGACTTATATATTTTCATACCCAGCCTTACAGGGTCAGAAAGAGTTCTAGAAGCCCTGTAGTGTTTGTTTTTATTGCAAGAAAATAGCATTGGGGTGACAGTGTGGACAAGAAAAGCAGACAGTAGGAGCTGAATGAGGAGATGAAGCCAAACCTGTGCTTGCACCAGGAAAACAGACAGGTGAATCTTACTCCACATATCTAAACGCTTATCTGGGATTGAGGTCTTGTTCTATTTCTTTTCCCCGCTAGATCAAACAATGCTTTCATCATATATTTGTGAATGCATTCATTTTTCTGTTTAATTCCAACTGAAACAATTTACAAACAGCATATCAAGGCTGTGAAAAGCGTGTTTCATTAGCACTATGAAATATTAATGCAATTTCCTTTGCTGTCCTGGAAAATATATTGGCAACTGGTTTGGACAACAGTACCTTAATGGCAGCTATCATAAGAGGGTGGCTATTATAGTTTTATTTCCAGAATATTTCTTACACTGATTGCCGGAATGTCCAATCTCCTTTTAAAATGATTAAACAAACAACAAGGCTATCATTTATCCCATTGTGCTGGGCAATTTAAATTTAAAGTGAATTTTCAAATAATGCTCTGGCTAGATATACAATTCTCCTTTCTACCAGTGAATTAAATATTCTCAAGAAAGTTTATATAAACAAACAGATGTATTTAAAACAGAGTTCAAAGAACTACTTTCTGACCAAAGTCATTGGTGGTTGTTGTTGTTGCTATGTTTATTTATACCCCACTTTATTTCTCCTGAAGGAGATTCAAAGCGACTTACATTAAATGTATGACCACAAAATTTCAAATATATAAATATACAAACATTAAAACAGATTTAAATATAACAGGATTAAAATTTCACAGTTAAAATCCATTGAAACACATTCAAAGCTAAAAATCACTTTGCTTAAGAGTCAGTATGAAAGCAGACGAAGTCTCTTACTTCAATTGTAGGTGGATCATTCCTTTTTTTCCGAATCCAAGCTGCAAAGACATTTTTAATAAGTCAGCATTTTTGGACATCTCAAATTTACATCAGTAATATTTATTTAGAAATATGACATTATGAATTTACAATAAAAAATTTCAAGGTTGAAAAAAGAAAGGAAAAATGAATTGAAACCATTTCAGCATTGGGATTACAAAGCAGACAACAAAAACAGTAAACAAGAAATAGTAAATTTGTTTTGATTTAGTCAGTCATTTTAGTATGAATTTTAAAATAGCTGCAAGCAACAGAAAAAAGCCTGAACTATTTCTTACTTAACAGTCTGAAGGACAAACACTTTTAAGATATGCATAGATGTATTTCTCAAATTCTCTAAATCTGGGACCACTTCCAAAAAGGTTCTCTATCTTATGCCCATTCCTCCTTGAAGCCACTTAAGAAGGCAGCTGGTGGATACTAAAGATGTGGACATGTGGTAAGGCAATTGTTTTAAAAAGATTACTCTTGCTTTCATGAAAACATAATCAAGTGAATGGTGCTGGGGAAGGGGATATTGCATGTGTCCACTGAACTTGTACTGCCAATGAGAAAAAGCCAGCAAGTGCAACCACAGTGAAGTGTCTCTGACAAGGTGGAAATTTACAGCCTAGAAATAGCTTACAAACTTACAGTCACAAAACAATGAGCAAGAGTGATCAAAGCCATGCCCTTAGTGCTGTTGGCAAAAGAAAATGTTTTACAAATGGCAAGTGATTTCTGCTGAACAAAAATCCCGACTCTTTCCAAGGCAAGATTACAGAGTGTCAATAGAAAGACATGGACCTAATCCTAATCAGTCATGTTACTTCTGAAAAGTATACCTTTACCTTTCCATGTGTTATTATATTAATATAATATAATATAATATATAATTACATAATTATATATAAAGAAGAGGAAGCAGGTTTGTTTTCTGCTGCCCTGGAAATAAGGACTTGGAGCAATGGGTTCAAATTACAGGAAAGGAGATTCCACCTGAACATTAGAAAGATCTTCCTGACTGTAAGAGCTGTTCAGCAGTGGAACTGAGGCTGGATGGCCATCTGTTGGGGGTGTTTTGATTGTGCTTTTCCTGCATAGTAGGGGGATGGACTAGATAGCCCATGTGGTCTCTTCCATATGATTCTATACTGATGTGGGAAGGCTTTGTCACACTGATCAGTTATAATCAAAGCTAAAACAATAGCGATATGTTCAATTACTGCACATATAATGAATTAGACAATGATGTCCTTAAACGAAAGTTCCTTTTCAGTGATTGACATGTTCCTTAAACATCTGCCTTTCTCTTCATTGTTCTCCTCTGACGTTGCAGTATAGCCACATCCATTTGAAAATCTGCTGACCCAAACTGCACATCAAATAAACCTAAGCAAAACAATTAAGCAAGCCCTACTCTCATTCCAACTGTAATTCCCTCCCCACATTTAGCATTGCTATAATAACTCCTATCTACAAAATGAAACAATTAATTACCATATTTACTTGAGTCTAATGTGCCATTGAATCTAATGTGCACCTCAGTTTTCAAAACCATGAAACCAAAAAAGTATTTGCTGTCAAATGTAATGCACAGTGGCAAAAGGTGCATTCACTCTTTGTAATTTGGCCCCAAAGGGTGCACATTACAGTTGGTGCCTGCTTAGAATTCCTTCTTTAAAAACAAAAGCTTTAGAACACCAAAGCTTTCAGCAATGGAAAAGAAAATCTTGGGATGCATCTCTGCTGTAGAAAGAATCCACTTTAATCATCTTGGTTCAATGCTATAGAATCATAGGGGCTGTATTTTTGCCTCACCAAATTACAAATCTCCAGATTGCATAGCACTGAACCATGGCAATTAAATTTGACATGATGTCCCTCAAATAGGTGTTCCAGGTGTTCCTGAAGCAGCATCTCCTTTTGCTTTCACTCAGGACTAAGAATACTGTATTATGTGAATCTAATGCACACCCTAATTTTAGCGAAATAATTCAGCTAGTAGATAGGGGAGTTATAATACAAGTCTAACAACAAAAGAAGTGCAACTAAACAGTTTTATAAAATTGTATTTCCCATCCAGCCTAATACAACTTAAGAAAGGCTTGGTGCCATTGTGAAAAACTATGAAGTCAGGGATGAGTATCGGACCACAACCCAATTTCCTCACATATCAACTTCATTGTTTTCTTGATTTCTTTAAACCTCAATTTCCAGGAAACTGTTGTTTCATGGTGGCTTTATAGCTAGGATATGAAACAATATTTCTCCATTGGTTCATGCTAAATCATTGTTTCAGGTTCAGAGATAATTAAACACTGTGGCTAAGAGAGAAGGATTGGATCTGGAGCAATTGGGAAGATGTCTTTACAGGGAATAGTGCACAGTCTGATGCTCAGTTCTGGTTTAATAAGCGCGGGTTATCTTGTGTTGATTGTATCTGAACAGGTTCTCAAACCAAGAAAGTTAGGAATTGTGGGAGTTGAAATCCAAAACACCTGGAGGGCCGAAGTTTGCCGATGCCTGATTTAAAAGCAACCAAGAGCGGTCAGATGAAGATTCCCTGAAGACTATATCAGGACTGAGGCACCTCTGCTGGCAATGACTTCTCTATAGTCCCTATAACTACATCTGCTGGTGACAATAATATTCAGCATCATCTCCATAAAGTGACATAACGAAGCCATCATACAATCTGGTTTTCATATTAGACACAAAACCTGAGAGATAAAGCGGATGCATTTTTATTATTTGTTTCTCTAATATCCGCACATTTATACCCCTCTCAGCCAGTTCTGAGCCACCATAAAAGATAGCTAATGCAATTTTATACTTATTTTCCTAAGCCTTCTGGGAATGGCAGTTTATGACAGGAATTTCCAGGATTATTTATCTTCCATTAGAGCCAATCTCTACAAAATTGAAGAGAGGAGGTTTATAATGTTCAATTCCAGTTTTCCACTCCAGATTGCTTTGGAACAGTCTCAGTACTGTTCCAAATTACAGTTCCTATATATCTATATATTTATTTGTGCTGGTCAGTGGCCATAACAAAGTTTTGTTTGTATATATTTATTTATTTTCAAATCAAATACTGAGATTTTAACATTCATTCCACAAAACTATTCCTTTATTTCATCCAATCTCACGTCCAAAACAGTAGGACTTGATTGCTGTTTAGAAAAATTGTTGATGCCATGAAAGCAGGCAAAAACCGTAGAAATCATTAGAATTATAGTTTGTTCTTGAAGCTCAAAAATGTAGTGAGGGCACACTAATTTTAAAGAAGTGTTTGCATGTTCCATTCCAAAGAAATTTACTTTCATGTAGATTCCTTCAAAGCAGCTTCTATGTGGAACAGTACAAAAGGAAAAGAAAACATACATATACATGGATGGAGTCCAACTTTACCAGATTCTCCTCAAAGCCTTTGTAAATCCACTGACTGACTGCAATTCAAATTGCCTAATTACATAGTCATCATTAATTATATAAATACAGCTCTATCTACAGTCTGTGCTTGTGATAACGCTACATTTGTCTGAGTGGAATTTAGCAAGATAAACTGGACATTTCATACCTTGAGACCTTGGCATTCTTTCATCAGTGCTCATTTGCATCCTCATTAGTATGCATGAGATTTTCATTGAACTTTAAGACTCCTACTGGCATATAACGCATTGTAATGAGCGTAAAAGTGAGCATGCAAATTAAAACTACCATTAATCACTAAATGTTACCCATTAAAAGAGAGAGGGGGAAGGAGGGAACCATGCCGGCTAGAATAGGCAAATTGTAAAATGCAGCAGGAGAGATGCACATCCTAAATCTCCACAGACATTGAAAAATTACTTTTCATGAGGACCACTGACATGTGTCGAAGAGTTAAATGACCAGATACAAACTGTAACTAGATACCTGTGACTATTTATAAGAAAAATGAGGGAAAGGTTATCTGTGGTCCGCATCCTCCAGATAATGCCTGTGGCAAAGGAAATTGCTTCCTTCCCTAAAAGGGAAACTTTACAGAACAAACATATTACCTACATGTACTAGACAATTTAAGTATTTTACTAATTGTACTTCTAATTATATTGTTGGTTTGAACACAGGACACTTTCATTCAAACTTCTGTCCTGCCACAAAGCTTACCACATGGGGACTAGGAGAAAAATCAGAGAATCATCTTTAATCTATATTTTAATTATGCTGTTCAGGCTCATCCTCATGTATGCCACCCTGAGTCCCTTTGGGGAGGTGGCGGCAGGGTACAAAAATAAAGTAGTAGTAGTAGTAGTAGTAGTTGTTGTAGTTGTAATTATTATCTGGGAACAATAGAAATAACAGAAGACCCATGTCCTAAACTCTTAGGACACAGGCAAACAATCTAAATGCAGTTGGCCCTCTATATCCATGGACCCTGGAAATAATACATTTTTAATTGAAATATGTACTTTCTGTACATATTTCAGATTTCAATATTAATGTCAAAAATACATAGTATGATTTTACATAGGATTTGTGCTACATTAGAACAGTAAAGACAAATATCACTTAAGTAAAATAAACATTAAATATTAAGTAACAAAAAATAAAATAAGGTGTAAAAACTAAACTAATCTGAGAATCTGCTATTGCAACACATCCAATGAAGTGGTTTAAAACCAATATATATATATAAGACTAAGTACTTTCCAGTCTACTTGGACTACATGAAGCTCATTTCAGAAGCATGTTTAAGAACTAGTCCAAGAGTCCAGAAGAGCCTTGACTCCCAATGTGACCATCATCTCACTTTCTTTACTAGTAAACTTGTACCCAGTATGCTTTATTATGCCAATTGTTTGACTTAGAAAGTTGAGCAAATAGTTTATCATTTTACTACACTGTGGTATTAATATGGGACCTGACCATCCATAAATTCTGGTATCTACTGGGGATCCTGAAACCAACCCACAGAAGATAAGAAGGGCACACTGCATGTTTTGTAGGCTTGTGGCTGGCTCCCTCTTTCTCTCTCTAGTTCAGTGGTTCTCAACTTTTTTTTTGGACCATTTGACGAGGGACCACTTTGACCAGGGACCAAATCAGTTTTTGGTCAACTTTAGATTTGGTTTGGGGTGCTACTTCAGAAAATTACATTGGATAGACCACATCAGCTCTAGTTTCTGATACAGAACATATGCCATGGTCTGCGACAGGGAAGGAGTGGCAGGTGGTATAAAAGGAGCAGAAATAAAATAAAGTAAATAAATGGAAAGAAGGTTTGCAGACCAGATTTTTGTCCTTGCAGCCCGCAGCCCACAAGTTAAGAACCACTGCTCTAGTTTAAGAGATAATTTGAGAGAATGTGTGTCATAAATAACCACTAGATGTAATGGTTTGAGTGTTCGACTAGGATTCTAGGACACCAGGTTTCAAATCTCTGCTTGGCCATGGAAACCCAATAGGTAGCCTTGGGCAATTCATACTCTCAGCCTTAGAGGAAGGTAATGACAAAGCCCCTCTAAACCAATCTTGCCAAGAAAGAAGCTGGCAGTCACCAAAATAAATCTTTCTATGCACTAGCAGCACAGCAATATAATACTATTGTTTTTATACTAATCAGTCCTAATACAAGAAAAGAAGGGGTGGTTTGATATATAGTTGCATTGGGGATTCAATGGACAAAGTGAAGAAAAATATTAAGGTACATAAAACAAGGGAAAACACAGGCTTCTAAAGAAGATTTTTAAGATCAGTTCAGGGGTATTGTGGTTTTTAATTCAGGGAGTGTTGCGGGTGGGATTGGAGGAATATGAGTTTTAAATGCCATTTTAGTATATCTACTGTATTTTAGTTTTGACCACATTGCTACTATTTAATTGATTTTAAATAGCTTTTTAACTGTATTGTACCTTGTAAACTCGCCTAGAGTGTTAGCCACCTTGAGTTTCCACATGGAGAAAGGCAGGGTCTTAATAAGCTGATAATAGTAGTAGTAGTAGTAGTAGTAGTAATGCACCAGAAGCACATTGTCAGTAGTTCATGCTGACAAAGGAATGAGCCAGTGCATCCACTACCACATGTAGCTTGTAGGTCGAAGTGGTCAACATATGGCCAACTAGCAGGGAGCAATCCACATTTTGCAGGCTGGGTTGTTGTAGGTTTTTCGGGCTATATGGCCATGTTCTAGAAGCATTCTCTCCTCTCCTGATGTTTCGCCTGCATCTATGGCAAGCATCCTCAGAAGTTGTGAGGTTTTTTTTGCAGGGCTTCCACTTTCAGAAGTGCATGATTTTTTTAAAAGACTGAACTGCAACACTAATGGTCAACTTTAGTGGGAGGTAATTAGACTTTCCAAAAAATTACACTTGTGATACAACTCCCACAATCTCCCAAAGTCTTTGCCTGCTGTGGAATTCTGGGGGTTATAGTCTAAAAGAGGTCTTCTTCCAAGTTCTGCCCATTTCTAACATAGTATCACACTAATTGACCCTGATGCAAAAAACATCTGCGCAGCAAATGTGTCTGTATCTGTTGTGTGGGCATCTCTGTGTGAAGTGTGTGTTCATCCCACCTACCCTCTCATTCCAAATTAAAAGTTGACTTATGAAAAAACCAATTTGTTGCATATTCATTGTAAAAATAATAGTTTATTACACTAATAACAGCATACACTACTACAAACACAAAAATACTCCTTAAAATGATTCCAATCCTCCCCATTTTTTTTAAATGATATTTTTTGAATAGACAAACATTTTCATTACATTTTTAAACATTATAGTCATGGTATCATCTTCAAAATCATCACATGCTATTTCAGTCCCCAGGTCAGATGTATACAATGATGTCTAGGATTGGAAAATGATGAAATCCCACATGATCACTCAGGAAGGTAAGTAATAATTTTGACTGGAATCATTAGAAGGACCGGTATATGCTCTGGGATCAGAGTGAAGACAGTGGCCAGGAAGACAGTTCCACCTTGTCTCCTGCACTGTGGTAATTATAATATAATATAATATAATATAATGCAATGCAATGCAATGCAATGCAATGCAATGCAATATAATATAATATAATATATACACATATAATATTGATAATATTATACTGTAATACAATATAACACAATAATAATATGCTATTATAATTATATATTTTATATTACATGTAATATTACTAATAATATTACAGTATAATAGTATAGTACAATATAGTAATATATAATACTAATATTGTGCTATGGTAATAATATAATATATTATATTTACATACTTGTAAGCTGCTCTGAGTCCCCTTCGGGGTGAGAAGGGTGACATATAAATGTTGTAAATAAATAAATAATAAATATAGCGTTTTGAACATCAAAAAAAGTTATATACATTTTAACAAAATTAAAACCCACTTCTTTCCCTTGTTATGGAAACAACACACATAAAAAGGGATTGTAGTTGTCATTTTCAATAATCCGCTCAGCAGCTAAAACGTTAGCTGAAAAATCTAGTTAATGTTGTTCTTTGCATTTACGCACCTACATTCTCCCCTGCTCTGTGTGTCATAAACAAGAATACACTGTACACCTCTCCTGCCCAAATAATGGATAGGGAAACAAAGTAGTCTGAATATTTTGTCCCCATTCCCTGAAAGGAAGTGTGCTTAAAAAGAGAAAGAGACGATTGCCTATTCAAAACGCTTTTAATTTCCCTCTCTACACAAATCCTTCCAATTCAGTGCAACTATAATCACAAAGAAAAAATGTTATGGTAATTACAAGGGTGAGCAAGTGCTGTGTTAAAAATGCAAATGCAGCTAATAAAAGTGTGCCTTGCCACACATGGTTTATTTTCTGTGTTGGAAAGCCAAATAAGCTGTGTAGATGTACAAAGACATTCCCCTTTCAATAAACCATCAGAAAAAGGATTTCTTTGTCAACAGTGGTGTCTTGCTATTCATGACCATTATGTCACAGCGTTCGCCACCCAAATGCTATTAAAACTAGTTAATAATACATCTTTGTTTCCCATAATCTGACATCAAATTTTATAATTTGGTTTTTTAAAGAAATGTGTCTATTTTCTCCATCTGAACTGGGTCCAGGTGGATAATTTCAAGATGGCAGGTTAATGTGACACAGCAGTCAACTACAACTGGTGGTTAGTCCAGCTGTCACAAAGAAACTGCGATGTACAAAAGCAAAATGGAGGAAATAATATCTTAATAAGCCAGAAGGGTGAATGTCACTCATCGAGAAAATTCTAGTGAATTAAGGAATCTTAAAGTAAGAGTGAAGCTTTCATGCACTTATAAATGAGTATGAATTATAAATCACTTCATCACATACCATACTTCTCAAGCACCCTTTAAAATGCATTACCTTCCCATTCTACTGGAATGTCCCCTGTTTGATACTCGTATTCCTTAACACCTGCTGCTTCCACAAATCTTCTCTCTTTAATCATTTGTCCTATTAAACAGGAAAAAAAATGGTAAGGATAATTCCAGATATAGCACTGGTGTATACAGGTGGATTCTTAAGCCAAATTCCACTTGCTAATGGTGGCTAGAGCAGACCTTCTGAACCCATGGATTTACAATTCAGCATTGATTTAATGGGTCTACCTTTGCTGCATTAGGAAACGGATTTTGGTCTTTCTTCCTCCCCCCACCCCCAAATACAGACACTTCTCTAATACTAAAATCTTAGATAAATTATATTGAATTCTTTTTTTCTCATCACTGAAGAATAAACTAAAGTTATTGTTTGCATTTGTAATTTTGACTTTTGTAGATTTGATTATTAACTGATTTGATTAAATTTTGCTCTCTAGAAACCTCTAGGTTACATGCGTCAAATGCAAGGCCCACAAGCCAAATCTGGCCCACTACATCATTTTACATGGCCCATAAGTCTTTCAATGCCAGGATAAGTTACATTTATGCAGTGCTACTATTACAAATGGCCCTTTGAAGGTAACCATAAGGCTGATGTGGTCCTCAGTGAAAATGAGTGAGACACCCTTGCTCTAGAAGGCCTCCAGTATTACTCTCCATTTCCTCCAATTATGCTGGGAGAACTAGAAATTTCTAGAGAGAACAGCTTTCTAGGAATCTCTAGTTCCTTCAGGGTGATCTATGGTCTCATTCCAGTAGAGGTTGACCATAAAGTAATGTTGGAAGGCCTAGACATTCCTAGAGAGGTTTTCTCTCAGATAAAAATAACTGCCTTGAGTCGCCTTGAGGCTGAGAAAGGCGGTATATAAATACTGTAAATAAATAAATTTATTTGTTCACATTTATTTATTTTATTTATTTATTTACAGTACTTATATTCTGCCCTTCTCACTCTGAAGGGGACTCAGGGCGGATCCCAGAAGACATATACAGCAAACATTCAATGTCAATTATATAATGAGAAGATAGACAATAGACAGAGGTATGTTTAGGCTTTTTTCTCATCATTTGGTATCTTTTGGAAGCTGTGCTCAGTTCCAGCCATATGGGGGGAGGGGTTGGTGTCGCTCAGTTTCCTTGCCGAAGAGCTTTCTTTGTTTGTAAACTTTCCCCCCGAAAGGCTGTGCCTAAAATACCTCCCTGCTTCATGCGGTTCCTGTTCAACTACTCACATTACTGTTTTCAATCCGCTAGGTGAGCAGGGGAGCTGGGCTGAAGGCCAGGAGCTCACCCTTACCCGGCTTTGAACTATCAGCCTTTCTCGTTGGCAAGATTTACTGCAGCTGCAGCTAGTGATTAACCTGCTATGCTAAAGCCAGCACTTTCATGAGGGTTCTGTGCCCTAAACCCCAGCAAAGGTGGAGGGTTGATTGTAAATGTTTATTTAGCCATATATTGAGGGCTTGCTAGTCAATTCTTTTTTCATGCTCTACAACTCCCTTGCTGTTTTAAGTCCATTTTTCCTTTGCTATGGATGAACCTTGGCTGGGGGAAATGCTAGAAAATAATAAAGAGCAAGTACAGACAGGGTCCAATTCTCCTCCTCCATATTCCCTTTTGCTCTTAAAATTGAATCCTGCACTTTTATTTTTGCATATAAACATAGATCTCTCCCAGTGAAGCAAAGGAGACAGATGCCATCATATCTATCCAGGCTATGGCCCTCAGAACTAACCCTATCATTTCATGGAGTTAGATCTAATAATGCAGAGTTGCAGTGCAATAAAAATAATAGGTGTCAGATTCACTTCAGAGAAAGGTTTAAAGGACACTTTACAAGTACAATACCATGCATGTTTATTTGGAAGAGAGTCCAATTGTGTTCAATGGCACTTACAGGTAAAATGGGCATGGGATTGATTGTTCTGTGCCCCAGTGACATTTCAATCTCTTTGCAATTGATGAAAAAAATAGACAGATGTTAACTCTTCCACTTTATCCATTCAAATATCTGCAGCCAGGGTAGACTTGCTCTCAACATCTGCAGATGTGGTGCAACATTGATAAAAGGAGTCACAATATATAGAAGGAGGATAAATGAATGATACTGTGGAATATTTGGCTCACATTAATCCTCAAACTTAGCAATATTCTCATAGCCCTCTTACGGTATAACTACTGTAGTAGAAAATGCTATTTGAAGTGCTTAGGTTGCATTTTAGCCATCTATGCATACGTGTCCATTTCCCTCTCTTATAGTTTCTCCATTTGTGACAATACCATATGGAGTAAAAAAGACAGGTAATGTAGTACTGTGGGGTAACAAAAAGCATTCTGGAGATATCAGACAGAAAGACCTCCTGGGATTTACTCTCTGAAACACATTTCAACTCTCATCTATTATGAAAACTGTCCTTTGCTCAGCATACCTTTGAAAACCATATGACTCGCTGCATACAATTGAACCTAATACTTAATTTAAGAGAAAGGCTTTTTTTCTTTTAAATTAACTCAGTTGTACCCCTGTCTCCCTCTTTAAATGAATGCCATCTTATTTCTAATGTAAGATTGAGTATCTCTTATCTGAAATGCTTGTGAACAGAAATTTTTTGACTTCTGAATATTTACATACACATAATATTGCAGTTAGGACTCAAATCTAAACACAACATTTATGTTCCATATACACCTTACACGCAAAGTCTGCGGATGATTTTATATACAATATTTTATATATTCAATACTTTTGTATACACTGAACCCTATCTCAGCCACCTATGTGGATGGTTTTGGAAAGTGTTTAATTTCTGGATAAGGGATACCCAATCTATTTTTATAACTGAGAAACAATAAAAATCTGGTTTAAGTTTCAGGCAGCATTTTTTAAATACACAATGACTAATTCCGCCTACTTTTAGAATGTTCCCATGTTTTTAAAAATATATAGTCTTTATTGTGGTTTTTACATACAAGACTTGTTTAAAATAAAACTTAGTAGAGAAGAGAAAAAAGAGAAGAAAAGAAAGAAAAGAAAGAAAAAAGGAGGAATGTGCCTATATTTTAATGGTTTAAAATAGTAGCAAGATAATTGAAAAGTAACAGGTTACTTATAAAGTAACGCATCATGCTTTGAAAATAAAATGTCAAACCCTGGTGCAAATGGGGTTGCATATTTCTCCTGTGTCCTATTTACCCGGGTCAGATGTCAAGACTGAAAGACTGACACTTTCTCCATATTCCCAGTTTTCAGTTGTCAGATCCATTTATCCATTCACAAACTTCCTTTTAGGAACAAAGTTTTGGAAAATGAAGTGAATGAGACTGCTGGTTGCGAATCACTTTAATAACCCACCCAACACTTACTGCCATGGCAATAACACACAACTTCAGCTATAGGTCAAGACATATACATACTCTCATCTTGAGTGATGCTTCTCCTGTTTATGGCAGGGGGTTGGACTGGATGGCCCACGAGGTCTCTTCCAACTCTATAATTCTATGATTCTATGCTGTGTCTGTAGGGAGTAGCAACATTCATAGAATGATATGGGGGGTCTGCCTTTTCATTAGAGCTAAAATGCCTTTCCGATATATTTTTTAAATGCAAAATTCTATTTAATACGATATTTTAAAAATATTTTCTAGCCTTTACCATTTTTACCAGCTCATATTTTTAACAACAAAAATATTTCATGGACAACAACAATGGGCAATCTTTTCCATAGGAATATGTACTTCTACCTATATAATTTTTAAAAAACTTGGAATATATATTTCAAATAACCATTCAAGTGAGCTGGACCTTCTCCACGCACAACCACTGTCTCATTACCACCAGCTATTGAAACACAGGAAGATGAGTAATAGAGGAAAACTACAATATCCCCCAAAGTCTAGAAAATCAATTGCAATTCCACTTGCAGCTTACAGAAAAAGACCAATGAGTTATTTGCACTAAGAACTAACCATGTGGAGGCAGCATTTTCAAGGTGGGACCAATTCAAACAAACTGTCTGAAGTCCTAAGACTGAAAATGTGTGGGTAGAGCCTTATTATGCACAAATATACAGGTAAATCCCAGAACAATGAAATGAAACGGCTATAGTCCTAAAATGTTTAACTTTCCCTGAGTCTTGAGATATACAATTTGGAGGGGGAACTAGGACATTAAGGGAATTCTACTCTCTCTCAAGGATAATAACGACAATATGATACGCATAAAAGCCAATACCTAATAAAACATTTAACTTCTTCCCTTTCCAGCTGTGAAAACAACACATTAAAATACCACATTCAGGATCTTAAAGCAAGAATAAATCTGTACAATTAGTTTTAATTCACTAATTGTTTTATTAGTATTTGAAGGCAATAGCAGCCTCTTCTTAGTTTATAGCTTTAAGATAAGCATTGCATTTCTACCTCAGGAAAAACAATTTCAGAGTCGAAAGGAGGGGGGAAGGTGGGGGAGGAGGGTTCTTACAATCTAATGAAGATGACCTACTTCTGCGTATGCATAACATTCATCTTCTCACTTGGGAAGACATTACAAAATAAGACTACCTGTATGATAAATCTTCTATAATGACCTGTAAGTGCCTGATTTTTTTTTAGGGTGAAAGCATTTCAGATTTGAAGTTGCATTTAGCATATTCCTTAGATAACCAAACATACATTCAGATATCAACATTAGACATTTTTAGTTTAAATCAATTAGACTGGTTGGGGGAGGGAACCATTCCCTCCTGGCTGCCTATATTTTTTGTTTAATCCTGGTCAGTGTACGACCTTATTACAAGTAATTTGTCATTATAAGTCTGAAGAAAAATGCTAGCCTCACAATTTTTGTCATTTCTTCCCCTCACACTTCCCTTCAGGCTGCAACTGTTGATGGGCTTTATGGAAATATAAATTCAATCAGCAGCTGCAAATTTCATGAGACGTCCATCTTCATGCTGAATTTGTAACTGAGTGTCAAAACAATCTGTGGATACCTTCCTGATGAAACACACATTGAATTGTAAATTTCTGCAATTTCCCCATGTTTGAATTTAAGGGGCACTAAAAACAGGACCA